AGAAAAATGATAGAAATCACACCTATGGCAATGGAGAACCATCTTGTTCAACCCCATCAAATTTGCACATGCATGAGTCAAACATGAAATTATCTTATACTTATGTTGATCTGTTTGATTACTCTGTTCCAGGAAATGCATTTGCAATTAGCAATGATGAAAAAATTAGACTAGAAGTTAATGAATCTTTAAGAAAAATTTGTGGAAAAGTACAAAGTGAATATGCAAAGGCCAAAGGGACAAGGAGGAAAGAGGAACTCAACTCAAAAAAGAAGATGTTTGATTTTAGTGGGATGCGCAGACGCAGTAAGGTGAAACACAGCTCGTGTTGCGTCCGCGACATCAGCCGCTGACTGACCTCGATTTCTAGCCATGGTCCATGGATAGCGTGGTAAATGTCACTTTAAACCTTGCTAGGCGCTCAAATACCATCCTAAATAGAATGATATGGCATTAAAAGAGAAAGAAGATGAAAAATAGGTATTAAAAGAAAATAATTTACATTTACCATCTCCTGAGGTCACTAATAAGCTGCCTTTTTTTAAAGCTAATTAGTGATCGTTTAACGGACCTCTTGTTGCAGCGTTTAGATCACCCCTTATGAAGGCACTAGACAGGAGCGTCGAAACGTTAGGCCTATGAATTGTAACTTCGGTTACATTCATTAAATCTTAAAACCAGAGTAGCATCAAACTATGTCAAAAAGGGGCTTCTTTTCACAAGTCATGAACAAAGTTTATATTTCAAATCATGTCTATTTATATTTCGTGTCGATCTATATTTCAAATCATGTCTATCTTATGATGTATTTTCTATTTCTTTTCCTGCGGGATTAGAAATTTTCAAGTTGGAACTGTTGATAAACTTGAATATCCTCGTTTTGTGCAGAATCCGCTCAATTTATTCCAAATCAACCCTCACTCAAAATACTCCTTTCGTTTTCCTAGATTACAATAGGGAAATAATTAAAGTGTCCGCTATCACTAAAGAGGCAACATCTCTTAGGCTTTCTTCTTCTTTCAAAGCCATTTATATGAAAAATCAACCATAGAAATATATCATTGTGGCAAATCGTATGATAAACATTAAACGGGGTAAATCGTGTTTGCAGTATTGCATGCAGCAACTAATTTTTTTTTCGTGGGACCGATGATGAAAGTCATACCTGACTTAAAGAAGTAACTTAAAGGTGAAAGTTGGTTTTATGAAAAAGCTTTGTTCCAAGCTGCTGGGTAACCTTACATATGTAAACCCAAATATGAATGCATACAGCTACTACTTCTCAAAACCCTTTTTACTCTGGTAACTCATATAATGCAAAAAATTTCCTGGTCTAAAGGTTTTTGTTCTTCGGCTGTTTCCGAACCTAGATATCGTAGCACATTAGCAGAGTCGGTCTATTAAAGATGTAATCATTCAAGAAGAGCATTGATTAAAGGGATATAAAATATACTTGGAATTTTTGTCGTAAGATCAGTTACTTGATTATACAAGGAGGTGACTTTGGCTTTACACTGACCGATTGATAATTTTGAAATGATCACAGTTATTAATATTTGTCGTAGACGGTGCATGCATCTAAAAAAAAACAATAAATAGGGCTCGAACTCTGTGCGTCAAAGCGTCTTCTGGAACAAACCTGTTTAGTTTATCAAGTGATTTCATTTAGTATGTCTTGCATATTGTGACAAAGTAAATTTTCCTTTATCTTCCTAAAAATTACAAGTTTTCAAAATATGCATAGTAGAGCACTACTTCGTTCTATTTAGTATCCGCTAAAAATATTGCCCACAAGAAAAATTCCATCAACGGGTTCTTTTCCTCCATTCGTTGGAAAAAGAGAATTCAACTTCCGTACAAATGGAAAATGGTTGTCCTATACAAATGGAAAATGTATAATAGATATCAAATTCTTTTGTGTCAAGTAATATGTAAAACATACAGTGAAGTAACTCGCGTTCACAGCCTTTCATGTGACCAATACCAAATTAAACAAAGGCGGTAAACCACAATAATGTGGTTTTATTAAGAGATCATGGGGTTTTCTCAATTCTCAACCCACTCTTAAATTATAAGCGTATACGGTATCAGCAGAGTTACTTAACCAAGTAGGTTGGCAGGGAATAAACAGTGGCCATCTTGGATTGCTTTTTAACGCAAGGGATGAGAACAACTTTGATTTTGTCTACTAAGGTAAGTTTTGTCCCCTAGCTTTAACGGTATTCACTTGGTGCACTTGTCAGTGCTTTGTTGATGTTATTGACTGTAGGCTGATAGAGACAAAAAAACAGAAAAAAAAGAAATTGCTGTTAAGATAATTTTTATAACTGATCAAGTCAGAAATGCTGCGTAAGTTTGTGAGTGTTGTTCCTAGTATAAGTAATATTTCCTAATCTAATTAAGAATAATTTACTTGTTGTAAAGCACTCCCTAAATGCTTCAATAAACTTATATAAGCTAAACTCGTTTCGTTTACTCCATTCATTGCAGCAAAATTGCTGGTCTGGATCTAACTGTAGATTTGAAGGATACCATAAACTAGAATGACATCTGGCCTCCTTAAAAGAGTAAGATTGACGAAAATCCAGTAGCGCTGCGTCAGTTCTGATAAGTGTATATATTTTTCTATTCCCAGCTTACGCTCGCTTAGCAATCAGGAGTATCATATTTTCAAAACATTATTAACCCAATACATTTTGTCCTTTTTGTAGACAGGTACTGACTTACCGGCCTTTTCAATCGAGTTCTCTATTCCAATTTGTTGATTAGATAGGCGGTATTAAGCTGATTAATCTTGAATGTTGTTATTTCACATCACTGCTTCTAATCATTGTCTGAGAAAAGTGTTTTAGAAGTTTGAAACATAAATGACCCCATTGTGATGATTCTTAGTGCAGAAGTTGGCCTAAGGCAGATATTCCAAGTGCCAAGGAAGCATTATTTTTTACTTTTTATCTCCACAGTTTCAGGCATTTTGGCGTCTCGGGATATTGTGTTTGAATATTGTTGATACTAATCGTACCTTCCTGGTGCACTATGTCAGCAAATATGTCGAGTTTAATAAAGCAATAGATGGCGTTTTCGAGAAACACGAACGAGCTAATATAATAATGGATTCTCATTCAGTCATTTTCCAATTTTGTTTTTTTCACGAGCACTTACATATAACGCTGACATTGCCTAACCCATTGCTTCAACTTTCATCGTGAGAAGTACTGTGCTATGATTTTTAGAGAATTAGGCAACCGCAGTTATTTTCTTACTGTCCGTTGCTGTGTTTTTTGACATGAGAAGGGCCTTTGACAAAATAAACGAGGGCATTTCGGCGTGGCTTAGTTCATTATTAATCCATCTGATGTAAACAAGTAGCGCTCATAAATTCTGACTCTCCCTGACTCTCTGGTCTTTGAATCTAGAGTGCCACAAGCGGTTGATCCATGACTTGTTTTTGTTCAGAATTTATGTGAAGGACTTTTCATGTGCCCCTCAATCTTGTTTTACTGAATATTATTGGATGATACTAAACTTCAGATTTCTCTCCCAGTTCAAGGCTGGGCTAAGACAACAATTCTTTTTTGAGACAGAGAGTGTCCTTTAAATGAAAGTGAAATAAAACCACGCTCGTCGATCAAAAGATCGGTGGGGACTCTGATATCAATCTCAAAAATTTTGGTTTTTGCCTTTTTTTCAGTGTTTATCTATTTGACTGTTCAATATGCTTATAAGGAAGTATTTATTGTTTAGATAGGGTTTTGAAATTTCTGCACACGAAATTAAATTGAAAATTTTTTTTTATTTGAATCTCCCGAAAATCTGACATATTTCGATCCATATATAGATATAAGAGAAGCCAATATTGGAAAATGGATCATTTTTCTATCCATATCTTGTAAAATTAATGTCAATGAAGGAAATATAAATAAACTTGAAACACCACCAACACCACCAACATCAGCACCTGTACAATAACAACTGAAGCGTGTCAATAATCATGTATTGTTACCCTTGGTGTTATCAAAACAAGCAGGCTGACATATCTGTCAACCAAAAACGGTTTATTTATGCGACTAAGAATAAAGTATTTGAAAGCCTAATGACTCAATTTGCCAGTCTCTAGCTAAATACTATAACAGGTACCGATAAGTAAGCACGTAATACTTCTTAAAAACCGTCAGGAGGAGACAGATTGTGCCTTTCTGTGAGAGCGTAGCCGGTTTTAATGACTAAGCTATTGAGTCATTCATCACGCCCTTAAAACCAAAACTATTGCCAAAATGGCCTACAGTATATTCTAGAGCTCGTGTGAATGATTTATTCGTATTACATCATTACACATTTTACGCTTTGTTTTTGGAAGCAGATGTGAACTGTTTGTGGAAAAAAAATTTTGTTGAACATTGATAAGGGCTGAGACGACCGCTGGTGTTTTCATCATAAAGTTAATGTTCAAGAGAACTTAAAGTTTAGCTAAATCTCGTTTTTTATTATTCTCGAATTTAATAATACCAAAATATAAGCCATTTAATTACCAATCAGCCATTTTTGTGGCGTCCTCAATTTGTGAGATGTTTAATGTGGTCTTATTTGATATTCAAGCATGACGCATTTTAAAATAAAGGTTAGACATATTCATCTTGAGGTTTTTCCTCCTGATTGTGGGGAAAGTCAGCTGAAAGAGGCCAAAAATGCAAAAGAAAGCAGTGGTTCACTGTGACTGTATAAATAGAGAAGTCAGCAATAACTGAGGCGGCGAAAAAGGAAAAGAAAATAACAACCTTCCTTGTTTAAAAGCGCCGCCAGCAAGAGGACTAAAGGGGCCGCACAAATGTACGGGGTAGACTCTTTTAAGGTTTTATTCGACAAAGTTGCTTCGCACTTCGCTGAAAACGGTTTGTTCAGTCAAAATGCGAGATATTAGATTTACGTATGAGAGAACAGGGCATATCGAGCAAAGACAAGTCCACAATTAACGTTTATTTATTAATTTTGTTTATGCATGGGCGATCTTTAAATAAATATTAGAAACCCGTCCAAAATAGATAGAAAGAATCAATTCTCAATCAATATCTCATTGTATTTCATGGCAAAAAAAAGAGACTAATTGATGTTATGTCTTCCTCTTCTTCTTATTCTCCTTCCTGTAAAGAGAACATGGAAAAGAAAAAGAAATTTGTATTCCTCCTCATATTGCAATAGAGTTTTCGACTCTGTAAGTGCAATTACTTGTCAGCATTCAATGATTCGTTATTGATTAATATGAAAATTCGCAAAAAATTATTTCTTTAAGGACACGGAAGTTTTTCCACATAAATAAAGGCGACCTTGAATCACGAACAACAACAAAACGCCCTGGCTGTGTCCTTTACTGCCTTTCTCACTTCTGTGATTTTCCAACAGTAAAGAAAGGGATTCAGAGATGAGTTCAGATAAACTAAAGTTTTCGTAAAGAGCCACAGAGCATGAACTGCTGATCCACTAAGTACTGTATGTCTCAATATCGACACAATTATAAAAGGGGTGTAGCATGCCACTAAAGCCAACTGCACCCAAAATATGCTGGAAACTGTTTTCTGATATTGTTTGATGTTTAGTTGAACTCTCCCGTTTAATCTTTGTTTTGATGAACCTTTTGCTGTCCATGCACGTACTCTTCCCCTTCCTGTACCTTTTACTCCTGCTCCTTCTTCTGTGGCTGTTCTTGTCCCCGTTATTGCGCCTGCTTCATCTTTTCCTACTCCTATATCTTCTCCTGCGTTTGACCGTCCTTCGCCAGGGTTGTCTTCTACTTCAGCCTGGTACCGCTGTAATCTCAGGTGGATCTTTACGTAGCAAAACACGGAAGTAACCAGAGATACCACAACGGCCACAAAAGCAACAATCTCCGAAACCGTTTGACTCCAGACACGAACCAATCCGCATAAAACAGCAATTATCCAGCATAAAAGTATAACAGCTTGAGTTCGCTTTAGTGTCACAACTTGTCTGTATCTCAGCCTCAATAACAGAACAAGAAGTCTGTCAACACTGATGGCTGTTGATATCAGTACAGTCACTCCAAACAAAACATAGTTGGATATACAAACAACCTCTTCGACGTAATACAAAATATCTATGTCGGTGTTACCAAGATCAATGTAAAGAAATAAAACAGTCACGAACAGAGGTTGTGAAAAAAGACCCACACAAATATCGGTAGCGGCTAGACATTCAAACAAGACCTTTGCAGCGGGATGCAAAGAGGACACTTTATAAAATGTTAATAGAAGCAGAGCATTACCAAGAGATGCAGTGAAGGAGAGGACAATGTTGAAAGCGAGGAGAAATGCTACTACTCCAATTGGTAATTGTGAAGATAACTGGCTTGTGAGGGTCGCCATTGGCGCTCACGTTCAGACTTGTGGCTCTGTCTTTCCCTCTTTTGGCAGCAAATGAACGTTTATTGGGCGATCCCTATTCGATATAAGAGTATTATTGTTTTGTTGAGAATTTTAACAGTTTCTATTGGATAAAAAATTCCTCCTGTTGTCTGATTTTCCGATGACAAATGTCACAGCTATAATTAGACTTGTTTTTAACTCTTTCGTGTTTTATTCATATTCTTCGAATTTTCATCATGTTTAGTGAGCGGGTGCCACATTTATTTAACAAGCTAAATGACGTAGAATCTGCGAGTTATTTTTCGCCGATACTTTGTAGAGCTTCCTCAACAAGTCAGCTTTTCTTTTCAGTTCCTGACTCATGTGTGTCTTTGCCCTTCTTAGCCATGCTCGTTTTGTTTTAAGGTAACATATCTGTGGTTCCTTTATGATAAGCAAATGCTTTTTAGATGAAAAAAAATACATAATATACTAATGTTAAGGAACATCGTGGTCCATTCTCATAAATAAAGGAATTCTTGAGCTACAAACAACAACAAAACGCTCTGATTGTCTTCTTTACTGCAATTCTCACTTCTCTGAACTTCCAGCACTAAAGAAAGAGATTCAAATTTAATTTAATGTTATCAACTGAGTTGAGAACGTAAACTGGCTACCGTATGCTAGTTTCCGTTTATTCATAACAGAAAAATTGATTACTTTGCCGCGCGTGTGTTCCCTAAATTCAGAACTCATTAGCGAGAGCCAATTTGCCGGCACGTCAAAATATGTTAGTGAGTAGAGGTAATCTTTAACTTGGCGAAAAACATAAGCGCAAGGCTGAAAAATATTCGTGAAAATCTTAGCTCGATATCACTTTTTCCTCTGAATGAATTCGATTAGGAACTGAAGAGAAAACACAACTTTAAAATTAATGAAATTTGCTTTGAAACGAGTAGGCTGTGGTGTGCGGAAAAACAGTGTTACCACCGCAAATAGCCAGCTGAATACAAACAATTACCTCCATGCTTCTTTTGAAGTAAAAATGAAAAAATAAGCCACAGGAAATATTGGAAAATCACCATAGGAAAAGAAAACAAAATGATATTGACCGAAAACGCTTCAACTTTGTTTTTCTTGAATATAGTAAAACCCCCCTTCTGCAGTTGAAAGTCTTACATGGCTAGAGAGACTTAAATATCACCACCTGCTCATTTTGGAAACTAGATTCGTTCTTTGGATGTTCAGTGTGGTGTTCAAGAGGAGAGTTCTCAACGCCTTTAGCGGTGAAAGAGTGGTAACTGCTATAAAATAACATGGAGAACCTGACGGAAAATACAAACCAAACAAGAATTGATCAATTTCGTTGCTTCACGGGCGTATGTGATCGAAGTCTTATTATGTTTGTTTCGTCATTGATCTCATAATTTTCAATGAAGCCATTGTGGGAAATGGTCTCATTCTTTTCCCTCTCTGCAAGATTTCTTCCCTTCATCAACCATCAAAATGTTTGTTCAGTAATCTTGCATGCACTGATATCATTGTTGGACTCAGTTTCCAGCCGTTTCATCTTGCTTACGTAATTTCCCAAGAACACTCTGCAATTTGTTACCATAGCTCGCTCATCAACCGAACCTTGGGGGTCATTTTCTGTGGCGTGTCTGTTCTCACACTGACTGCAATAAATACAGGCAGACTTTTAGCTGTTTCACTTGGGCTAATATATCGACAAGTAGTAACTCTGTGGCGAGTAAGAGTAACTTTAGTCCTTTGTTGGCTTGTTTACATTACAAGAGGAATAACAAACCATTCCATCCTTTCTATTTATTTGATAATCAGTAACATGGGTGTAACTTTTTCGATGATGACTTCTACTTTCTGCTACATAGCAATTGACATAAAACTCCGCCGTCAACAAGCTCAACTCCAAGCCTAAACTATCATTCCCAAATTGTGTGATACACATACATTTTTCAAAGATAAAAACATAGCAGAATGACGTGCTCATTGTTGAGTTGAATTAACAACTGAAAGATGGAAACTTAAAAGCCGCGCTTCAAAAGATTGCAATATCACTGTCATCATCCGAATCATCATCGCCAGATATCGTGATTTCAATTTCGTCGTCATCATCATCATCCTCATCGTCATCATCATCATTCTCATCATCATCGTCATCGACATAGTCATCTTCCTCGCCACCTTCGTCGGATTCCTACGAGAAAAAAGGCATTGAGTCGTTATTTTGTTGACCTACATCAAACACGTGTTGCAATAAGTGACGTGATTTAAAGTTCATCTCTGCTTTAGTGCCAGGGGGGCGCTATAGTCCACAACCTAACAAAGTGCAGGATTTTGTATGCAAATAAGGCAAGAACCAATCACCTAACCGAATTCGCATCCAAGATGGCGGTTTCACTTCTCTTTGATTGGTCCGTTCCTACGAATATTGATGTGAAAGTCCTCAAGATTCTCATACCTGCTCGTCCTCGTCATCAGCCCTACGCAGCCGCCCAACTTCGTATACCCGGCAAACGCTTTCGTCGGTGCTCGCCTGATTCTAAAAAAGATCATTACGGGATTTATGATATGAAATAATTCATGTGAACTGTTATGACATGATGACGAGATCCTTGCGGTGATATTTTGTAACTTATGCAATCATGAAATGACAAGTAAAGCCAGTCAGATGGCTCACATTGCCAAAGTTTCTCCCAGTTGTCGTGGCATAAGGTAGCTGGGATTACTGCTAGCTCCTAATTGCAATGCAGGCATTATATTAGGGCGAGTTAAAGTTAAGAAGTTCGCGATCTATTATTTGACCGGCCATGTTTGACTTGGAGTTTGAGTGGACAGTGGAAGGAGGGGGCGGTGAAAGGCGAAAAGACCCTTGCTCGAAGAGGCTGTTAAAAAGCGAAACACCTCCTGACTAATTGTGCGTCACCGCATTTTCGGAAATGAGCAAATAACCGTAACCACAAGAAAAAGAAAAAAGAAAACAAAAAGGGTAGAGCGGATGAGTGAAACTGTGAGACAGTTTTTTTTTTTTCAGCGAGGAGACAAATGGCCTCGACGTAACCCCCTCCGAGGACACAGATATGAGCTGATATTCACTGCATTCTATGTTCTTTGAGTGTAGCTTCCGTTAATCCCCTTGACGATGTTTCTTCCATTTGATTGTAAACGGTACTTTGAAGCAGACACACTTCTGCACACGAAGGTTTGTTTTATAATTAGTTTTAATGCTAACTGTGTTCGCCCACAACTCCGTTTGTGGGCGAACACAGTTTCCCAAACCAAGAATGACCTCAGACGAGCGTAATCTTCATTGCCCCACCCCCCCCCCCCCCTTTTTGACCGTGGCTCAACCCCGTGTTACAAATTTCTTCCTCTACTGGAAATGAAAGGCTAGTTAGTCGCAAGGCTCTCCTCCCCTCCCCCTTCCCCAGCATTTCGTCAAGTTTTCGCACCAGTTGCTGCTACCCATTTTTATTCCTCGGTGGAGAGATGTACTGTGAGAATAACGTATCTTCCCAAAGAACACTTCACAAAGACCTAACCAGGGTCCCAACCCAGACTCCTCGACCCTGATTCCTACGCTTTAATGATTGGGCTTCAGCTCCTCAAATAATTTCACAAAGAGGTTTGGAGGAAGGAAAAAAAAAAAAAAAAAAACAAAAACAACATTGAGACTTTGAACAGGATTTGAGCTTGTGACCTCGCGAGATGCCGGGTGCAGTGCCCTGGCCGACTGAGATATGTAGTCACTACCCCTTAATGAAAGGTGAATTTGTCGGCTCAGGTCTTACGATCAAGATGAACTGAATTGAATGTTTCATAGAAATCATAAGAATCCTCTTATCTCTGAAGGAGTGAGAAGAGGGAGAAAAAAGAGAAGAGAGGAAGGTAAGCAGGAGCGGGAGAGGAAGAGGATGGGAATGAAAGAAAAAGGATGGAAGGGAGGAAAACAAAACAATGCAGAGGTTTCCGATTTAAAAGCTTACCTTACAAAGTTGTTAAACTTGTCAAACTTGTGTATAACCCGTTTGCCTTTGACATCCCATAATACACCGTCGTTCAGTACCAGGTCGTCCGTGGGATTGAAGGAGGCGAGGTTCTTTGAGTAGTTGTTAGTGTTGTTGGAATCGTGCAGAGTTAGTACCCGCTGACCTGTCGCAGTGTCGTAAATCTGATGGTTGAATATAATCTAGTGAATAATATCATCACACTCTAACTGCATTCTAATGCTCGTTGTTATCGAGAAATAAAAAGGGTGTTTTAGCAGAGAAGTACCACAAGCAATAAACGACAAAAAAAAAAAACAAAAAACAAAAAACTGAACCAAATACAAGAAAACATTGGTCAACCCTTACTAAGGTAATCACAAGGCTTTGCCTCCAATTTATTAACGATCTACCGATAGAAATCTCGAGTTCGACGCCTTAAAGTTTGTTTAATTTTTCAAAAGACGCATTTCAACTGAGAGACGTGAAAGAAAAACCAAAGTTGTTTCTAAAGCATATCAAAATAACCAATAAAAAATTATTAAACACAGCCAACAGGCCTCAGAACAAGTAAACTGAGGCGTAGAAAAGTGATCTTGGTCATGAAGTCTGAGCTAAAAATGCTTCTTGAAAGTCCATGTATTCGAGACAAAAAATGATCGCGCACAAACTTGGGCGAAATCAGCGATTCTATCGTCCTTGCTGTCCCGTGTTCACGCTGTAGCAATTTCGCTTATCTATTTGTCCTTTTGTAAATGTTCTAAATGAACAGCGACAATTTGTCAAACTAAGGCTGATCGCGATGTATTTAGAAGTGAAAATGTATCATATGTCTTGAACTCACATGCGCAGTAGCGTCGTGTGTGCCAATAATTCTGTGTTCTGATAAATTACTAGACTTTACCCAGGTGTCTTCGCTAAATGTATGTCTGAGCCAAAGACAAACAAATAAAATTATAGGTAAATAACATTTTTTATCAAATAGAGAGATAAATGTAACGACGAAATATTACAGTTCGCCTACTGTCACCGTGTTATTAACACCAATCTGATTATAGGATACGAGCCATGATATACACCTAA